CGCCTTTCCGTCTGCGCATCGCAAAAGCCCTGGTCCACGCACCTTGTGGAGGTCCCCAAAAGGGCGTGAGCCATGTGATGCTTCGTAAAACTAGAAGAGGGATGGCCCGAAAGCATCGATTTGCCGTGCGTTGACTCCATGCACTTGACTCTTTGTATGCACTTGGACAAGTGTATGTACTTATATGTTTGCATACTCACTTGTACACTGCACTTGTATACTGGACGTGCATGCACTTGAACTGCATGGCATTCAAGTGTGTTGAGTTGAATGCCATGCACTTGTGGTCAACTCTATACACTTCATGGGCATTCAATACATCTGAAGTAAACGGACTTGAACTGTATGAACTTCACTTGCATGCACCCGACTCGGCTGTGCACGTCCAATCCACGCGAAGCTATGAAAGAAAAGACAAAAACATCTAACGCGAGAGCCGTCAGCTCGGCAGTCGCTCTGAAGTCCAAGCTCATAGTCCAGAGCACCTGTCAGGAAGCAAGAACTCAGCATGCACGCATGTAGAGCATCCGGTTTGATGTGTGACGGCACATACGCCTTCGTGCTGCAGGCAGGAATCTAAGCAGTCATGTCTCTTTTTTTTGTCTTGGGCTGGCGTACTCCTGTCTCTGGAAACTGGAAGGTTTTCGAGGCCCCGGAATTCGAGTCCCAACAAAATTGCGAGGTTTTCGACACCCGGACGAATTCGAGTCCCACGATATTTGCGATGGTTTCGACATCCGGGAATTCGAGTCCCACGATGGCAGAGCCGCCCCCTTCTCTCACCCGGTCCCCGTGCCAATGGCACGAGCGAATGCACTGCGGACAATGCGTTGATCATTCTTGATCAAGACTGCAAAAAAGACACGCCAGACCTCAAGCAAAAGACACCAACCAAACCGGCTCAGTGCCAGGCTCAGACATGCAAAGAAGTAGAGTCTAGAGTTGCAACACAAAAATGTGCACGCTTTCTGACTTTCTCTGCCAGACCAGGATCAAGCAGAATCAGAAAGACTACCGGAGGCATGGGACTCCGAGGAGGTGCTCGAGCTTTCGAGGAATTCGAGTCCCACGGTATTTGCGATGTTTTCGACACCCCGGCATTCGAGCCCCACGATATTTGCGAGGTTTTCGAGGCCCCGGAATTCGAGTCCCACGAAATTTGCGCGGTTTTCGAGGAATTCGAGCCCCGCGATATTTGCGATGGTTTTCGAGGCCCCGGAATTCGAGCCCCACGATATTTGCGAGGCTTTCGAGGAATTCCAGTCCCACGATATTTGCGATGGTTTCGGCATCCCGGAATTCGAGTCCCACGATATTTGCGAGGTTTTCGAGGCCCCGGAATTCGAGTCCCATGATATTTGCGAGGTTTTCGAGGAATTCGAGTCCCACGATATTTGCGATGGTTTCGACATCCCGGAATTCGAGTCCCACGACATTTGCGAGGTTTTCGAGGCCATGGAATTCGAGTCCCACGATATTTGCGAGGGTTTCGACATCCCGGAATTCGAGTCCCACGATATTTCGAATTCGAGTCCCACGATATTTGCGATGGTTTCGACATCCCGGAATTCGAGCCCCACGATATTTGCGAGGTTTTCGAGGCCCCGGAATTCGAGTCCCACGATATTTGCGATGGTTTCGACATCGAGTCCCATGATATTTGCGAAGTTTTCGAGGCCATTGAATTCGAGTCCCACGATATTTGCGATGGTTTCGACATCCCGGAATTCGAGTCCCACGACATTTGCGAGGCTTTCGAGGAATTCGAGTCCCACGATATTTGCGATGGTTTCGACATCCCCGGAATCCCCCCACGATATTTGCGAGGTTTTCGCGCACGCGGAATTCCGCTTCCATGCCAATATTTGCGAGGTTTTCAAGCATGCGGAATTCCGCTTCCATGCTATTTGCGGCGTACTACGTCTGTACTGCAAAAGGTCGACTTTCCAGCCACTGAAGCTCCTGGCGTCCGCGGCCTACTACATTTGTACTATAAAAGTCAACTTTCCAGCCACGGCAGCTCCGGGCGTCGCCGGCGTACCACGTCTGTACTACAAAAGGTCGACTTTCCAGCCACTGAAGCTCCGGGCGTCCGCTGTACTACAAAAATCGACTTTCCAGCCACGCAAGTCCCCGGCGTACTACGTTTGTACTACAAAACTCGACTTTCCAGCCACGGAAGCTCCGGGCGTCCGCGGCGTACTACATTTGTACTACAAAAGTCGACTTTCCAGCCACGAAGCTCCGGGTGTCCCCGGCGTACTACATTTGTACTACACAAGTCGATTTCCAGCCACGGAAGTCCCCGGCGTACTACCTCTGTACTACAGAAAACGCAAAAACACTACGGTTTTGGCACCGCGACCACGCGAAAACCCGCAGAGGGGTTACGTTTGTGTGTCAAGAAACGCACAAACACGACGGTTCTGGGACCGCGCCAACGCCGAAACCCGCAGAGGGGTTACGTTTGTATGTCAAAAAACGCAAAAACAGTCGAACGATCTCCGAGTATGGTTGCGTAAGGTTTAATGAAAGCCTCAACAAGCGGGCCAGCCGCAAACTCCATCCAAACATTGGCAGCTTCAGTTGTATTCATTCTGAAGCAAGGGGAGAAACTACACCCAAGCCCTATACTGAGCCCTAACTCCCCAACCCTACACCCTAAGCCCCAAACCCCCAAACCCTAAAACCCCAAACCCACAATCCGGTACGGGACTCCCAAGCCCGGCCATTGGTAGCCACCAGCCTGGCAGGAGGACTGCGCTCCACTCTGCTTTTGGCAGCTGCCTCCGCAGGTCCGTTCCGTTGAGGAGCTTAGCAGAAGTGGGCTTCAGAGGGTAGGGTTTTTTAGGGTTGTTAGGGTTTTTGGGGTTTCTGTGGCTTTTAGTGCATTTACGGTTTAGGGTTTAGGGTTTAGGGTTTAGGTTGAGGGTTTAGGGTTTCGGGTTTAGGGTTTGTGGTTTTGGGTTTAGGGATTGAAAAGAAGTTAACCATCATGCATGTACCTGGTACATGATGCACTGGGCGGCTACCAGGATCCGGGGTCCCAGATGACAATGCTACCTGTCCCCAGTGTTTCCGGATCTCTGTTGCGCCTGGGTTCGAGGCCTACTCGGAGGTTCATGGGTACTTATAACCCCACATATAAGTCAATAAGTCTACTTATAACCTACTTAGGGGAGTTAGGGGGTCTATAAGTACAGTTATAATTGGGGAGAGAGAAACCCTAAACCCTAAACCCTAAACCCTGAACCCTAAACCCTAAACCCTAATTGGGATTACAAGTGCCCATGAACCTCCAAGTAGGAGCTGTCATCATGACCTTAGAGGCTCTAGCCTGTTGGTGTGGCGGGAGCTCAGGGCAGTGCAGAGAGCGTGGGGCCCGTTTTAGGGTTTAGGGTTTCGGGCCAGGGTTTAAGGTTTAGGGTTTAGGGTTTAGGGTTTAGGGTTTAGGGTTTAATTAGGGTTTAGGGGACCACGTTACCCACGTAAAGCTTTTCCCGCAAGGCTTCCCGAGTGCCGCTGCGTCTTGCAGCAGCCAGAGGCGAGAATGCTTGCGCTACGTGCTTTGCTCCCGCACCGGCTTGCACCGGAATGGTGGGTATGACCTGCTCTTGAGCATCGCAGGAACAACGATATTCAACAACTTGGTACTGTGCGAGTGGAAGCGATACATGAAGTGCTGATGGTCAAAGTCAAACTGCAAGATAAAAAATTAGCTCATGGTTGGGATCGTATTAAAATTTATATTTATATTCCTTATTGGGTTTAAGTACCCTTGGTTTAGGGTTTAGGGTTTAGGGTTTAGGGTTTAGGGTTTAGGGTTTAGGGTTTAGGGTTTAGGGTTTTTTTTGCCACCCGACTAGCCACAGCAATGCGGGGTACAAGGTCGGAACTTAAGGGTTTAGGGTTTAGGGTTTAGGGTTCCCCCAAAATGGACCCCAATGCATCAGCAGCCTAAACCCCATGAAACCCCGGCACAAGCGGTTGGGTCCCTGCGGCCTGGATGGACCCATGCAGCCTGCGCTACACGCTCGGAACGCCACGCTGCCAACACCGGTGTTCGATGAAGGAGTCTGGTGGTTATTCAAGGTTTCAGTCCCTTCACAGGGCGTGTGCACAAGGAGCTCTATCAACTTACGCACCAAGGGGGGCCCCTTACCATAGCAGTTGGGTACACCTTCATCCGGGCTTCCGGGGGGAAGGCTCTTGTGCCAAAGCTTTTGCATCTCTTCAAAAAACCGTGGGCTGCCTTGGGCTGATTGCCCCGGCGCCCATATGGTAGCTCTTATCTGGTGAGTAAGAGCTTCTAAGCATCAGACACCAGGCCGAGGTCCTTGCAAGGTCTCAAGGCCGCTTCAGCTTCGTCTGGTCCGCGTGGGCTGAGGATGTTCTCTCCATCAGGTCTCGCGCCTTGCAACGGGGGGGGGGGAGTAGTTTGACCATGACAGGCACCTGTCCACACCTTCGATGACTACGCAGGGGATTCCCAAAAAAAAAGGGGGGAGGGCTTCTTGAGTTCCTCGAATAGGGTTTGGGGTTGAGGGTTTAGGGCTCAGGGCTTAGGGGTAAGGAGTGGTCGTAGGGGTAAGGACTACACGTTTAGGGATGTACAAGGCGGCCCTCATGTTGGGAAATACCCAGATGACCATGATGGCTCAGCGAAACCTGCGCAACGGCCATGGCGGTCAGAGGCTTCAGAAACACAAATGCCCCCAAACCTGAAACTCCAAACTTCCTGCTCATGGGTAGTATAGGGTTTAGGGTTTAGGGTCTATGAACCACTAGGAAACTCAATGCCACCACGCATGTTGAGCTGCTAAGGCAGGCCATCATCGCCATTGGCCCTAAACCCTAGACCCATCTAAACCCCACTAATTACTCAACCCTAAACCCCTCTAAACCCTAAACCCTTTTTGAACCCTAAACCCTAAACCCTAAACCCTAAACCCTAAACCCTAAACCCTAAACCCTAAACCCTAACCCTAAACCTTAAGCCCCTAGCTGTCCTGCTGGGCATCGCTCAGCCAGGCAGACAGCTCGGAGTAGGTGGCCATCTCCGTCTTCTCCACCAGGTTTTCGATGTGGCGCACGTTGGCCTGAGGGGCGCTTGTGGTGCGGGACGGCAGGGCCTGCGGGACTGCGGGACTTCAGGGATTGGGGTTTAGGGTTTAGGGTTTAGGGTTTAGGGCTTAGGGTTTAGGGTTTAGGGTAGTTTAGGGTTTAGGGTTTATTTAGGGTTAGCTGGTTGAGGGCTCGGAGCCAGGGCGTTAGGGGTTTGAGGGCTTTCTTCTCCCGATGCGTTTCAGGGTTTGTGCTCTGCAGGGCCTGGTCACCACTACTGCGCAAGCCTGAACCAACCAAGTCAAGGACAACCCTAAACCCTAAACCCTAAACCCTCAACCCTAAACCCTAAACCCTAAACCCTAAACCCAGGATTTCGCAGGAAGTGTGTTGCACATAAGGCTTTATGTAATGAGATGATATACGAGGGGACTAACGGCTTTATTCTGAGGGGTGAATATGTTCACAAAGATGAATGTTAGATATATATATATATATATGTATACATACATACATACATACATACATACATACATACATACATACATACATACATACATACATACATACATACACACATACACACATACACACATACACACATACACACATACACACATACACACATACACACATACACACATACACACATACACACATACATACATACATACATACATACATACATACATATGTGCCATTCACACCATTCTGGGTAGGGGGATCAAAAAAAATTGTTTGGGATCAAAAAATTGTTTATTTCTAGGCGGATCAAAAAAACTTATTTGGGATCAAAAAACAATTTACTGAAGGCTTCTTGCAAGCGGAACGGAGGCTGTAAACGCTCAGAAATGCAGCAGTTCTGGCCGTTCGCAAGCTCCAAATACCGAAAAAACACAGCATTTTTGCGCATTTCAGAGTTTCCAGAGAGGCTGCAGATATTGTTTGTAGCAGCAGTTCTGCGCTTTCAGAGGCTGGAAATACTGTACACTGCAGCATTTCTGAGTTTCCAGAGGCTGCAAATACGGAAAATAGCAGCATTTCTGCGATTTCAGAGGCTGGAAATACTGTGAATAGCAGCATTTCTGAGTTTGCAGAGGCTGCAAATCAATGCTGGCATCTTGGCATTAGAAGTTTCAAAAATGCGTATACTCTGAAGCATGTATATTCTGGCATAGAATTGTGGAAATTCTTGTATAATATTGTATGACAGTGTATATTATTGCATGTTATTGTACGTTGTTGTATATTGTTGAGTATTATTGTATTGTCTTGTGTTTTCTTATGTTTTTGTGTGATATTGAATATTATTGCATATTATTGAATGTTATTGTATGTTTTTCAATTTATTGTATATTGTTCTTTTGTAGGTTACTGTATATTATTGTATATTCTTGAATTTTCTTTGTATATTATTGCAGATTACTCTGTATTACAGTATATTATTGTATATTCTTGTATATTATTGTCTACTATTGTATATCTACTATTGTATATTATTGTAGTCTTTTGTACACTATTTTATATTGTTGTATGTCTTGCTGTACATCTTTTGTACATTTTTGAAAAATATTGTATATATGGGTGTAGATTTTTGTATATTTTTGTATATCATTGTATATTGTTGTCTATTATTGAATATTATTGTCAATTACTGAAAATTATTGTAAGTTATTCTTTTCTTTACGTGTATATTGCTGCATATTCTTGTACATACTTGCATATTGTTGTATTTTCTGTATTATTGTATAGTATTGCATCGTTTTGTAATATATTCTTGTATATCATTGTATCTTACTGCGTCTTCATGTTTTTTTGCAAAAAAGTGCTCGCATCAGAAGGATTCATGTGCTTTGAAGCAAGCTTGCCCAGACTAAGAAAACAGCCGGGGAGGGGGGGGGGGGGGGTTGGGGGGGGGGCGCAGCCCCCCCATTTGCAAACCAACGCTCGCATCATTGGTTTGGAAAGGATACTCATATGCTTTGAAGCAAGCTTGCCCGGCTTTAAAAAACAGCGGGGGGTTTGAAGGGGGGGCGCAGACCCCCCCCCCATTTGCAAACACAATGCTCGCATCATGGGTTTGGAAAGGGATTCATACGAGTGGAAGAGCTTGCCCGGCGCCAAACAACAAAAATATGTATTGTGTATTATCAATTCTATATCAAATAGCAGTAAATTTATACATATATGCTTGGCTATTTCGAGTTTATTCTATTTTTATGATACAAAGGTATACTCTACGATATGTGGTCTATTCTACTCTATGCCACTCTAAGTATTTTGTTATACTTTGTTTTCATATATATACACCATATATAGATATACATATATATATATATATTGACATATGATGTTATGTTATGTTTTCCTACGATCCTTTCCTTTCCTTCCTTTGCTTCCTTGCTTCCTTGCTTCCCTTGCCTTGCTTCCTTCTTCCTTGCTTCCTTGCTTCCTTGGCTTTCCGCTTCCTTGCTTCCTTGCTTCTTCTTGCTTCCTTGTCCTTGCTTCCTTGCTTGCTTCCTTGCTTCCTTGCTTCCTTGCTTCCTGCTTGCTTGCTTCCTTCCTTCCTTGCTTCCTTGCTTCCTTCCTTCCTTCCGTCCTTCCTCCCTTCCTTCCCTCCCTCCTTTTCTCCCTCCCTCCCTCCCCTTCCCTCTCTCCGTCGGAAGAACCGAATAAAATATTTCTTGATCCTAAATACATTATTTTTTGATAATAAATAATTTTTTCATGATCCTAAATTATTTTTTTTTGATCCGCATCCCCATAATATGAACCGAAAAATACTTATTTCTGTATATGAATACATACATACATACCTACCTGCATACATACATACCTACCCACATACATACATACATACATGCATACATACATACATACATACCTATACACATACATACCTATACACATACATACATACATACATACATACATACATACATACATACATACATACATACATACATACACATACATGCATACATACCTAAATACATACATGCATACATACATACATATATATATACATACATATACAGAGCGGCGAGCCACCCACTTGAAATAGACCTTGACCAAGAGCACCCATAGCAGTGGAGTTGAACGACACAATCTTGCAGTTCCCTCTCCCTCTCCACCCCTATGAGTCGCATGTACTCACTCTCCACGGTTTGGGGTTTAGGGGTTTAGGGTTTAGGGTTCAGGGTTTAGGGTTTAGCGTTTAGGGTTTAGGATTTAGGGCTTAGGGTTTAGGGTCCTGGCGAATTCCAAGTGAAATTACAGTTGGCCGGGGGTGGGGGGGGCGGCGGGGGGGGCTTGAGCACTTGCACGAAAGGTCCGCCGCTGGTTCAGGCGAACTCCAAAAAAGCTGACGTGTGGCATGTGGGCTCCTTCATCCGAAATCCTTAAACTGAACACCCAATCCCAACACCTTAAACCCTACACCCTTAACCCCATTTGCTTAAGAACCCCCCACAAAATCAAAGAACAGTCATCCCTATATTGCCCTTTTAAGGAAGAATACTCGTTTTGTTGTATTTTTATTCTTTTTTTGGGGGGGGGGGGGGGGGGGGGGCTTCTTAAGCACTTAGTAGAAGACCTGGCCTTGTCGACATCTGGAAGAGTCTGCCACCACACCATGAGGTTGCGAAGGGCTGCGACCACCGACCCGTAGCGCTCCAGCTTCATGTCAACTCCCCGGAACTCCTGCTTAGGATTTAGGATTTAGGATTTAGGATTTGGGATTTGGGATTTGGGATTTGGGGTTTAGGGATTTAGATTTAGGGTTTAGGGTTTAGGGTTTAGGGTTTAGGATTTAGGGTAGGATTTAGGGTTGAGGGTTGAGGGTTCAGGGTTCAGTGTCCCCATGGAACTTTCGTGAGGCACGGGGGCTTGCCATTTGGGACCCTGAACCAAGGTTTAGGGTTTAGGGTTTAGGGTTGAGGGTTGAGGGTTGAGGGTTTAGGGTTTAGGGTTGGCCCAATCCAGACACCAAACCTAATCCTCCCAACCATACCTGGTTCCTATAGGGTTTCTATGCCAAAGAAGCTGACAGGATCTTCCGCTACCCTTTGCAGTCTTGAAGTTGGGTTCTGTGCACCACCATGAACTGCACCTACCCTTTTTGCACGCAACCCTACAAACCCCTTGTGCATCCAGGCCTATGAGACTGCCAACCCTAAACCCTAAACCCTAAACCCTAAACCCTAAACCCTAAACCCTAAACCCGAGTGCCGAAGGAGACGGCGGAGGGCCTGCCAGGAGGCCAGGGCTGCCGAGATGGCAACGACCAGGGGCGTCCAGGAAGTCCTCTACTGAACTTGGAACCCTCGGAAACATGTAGGGTTTAGGGTTTAGGGTTTAGGGTTTAGGGTTTAGGGTTTAGGGTTTAGGGTTTAGGGTTTCGGGTTTCGGGTTTCGGGTTTAGGGTGTGACTTTAGCTGTTTCTTAGCAATTACAGTACCAAAAAAAAAAAGATCCCAAGAATCCCGGAGAGTCTGGTCGGACACGGCAAGCACCGACATCAAGGCCGTGGAGGCCAGGAAGAGCACCTGGGTTGCAGGGGTTCAGGTAGCCCTAAACCCTAAACCCTAAACCCTAAACCCTAAACCCTAAACCCTACACCCTTTTGGGTTTAGGGCCATATTTCGGGGTAAAGAGTTTAGAACTTGGGGTTTGGGAGCTTTGACCCCTCTACACCCTTTGTTGCACAGCCTGAAACCCTCAACCCCTTGTATTGGAGTTTGCCTGAAGCCCAACACCACGTCGACTTGAAGTACTTGGCCTCAAGCTAAGGGGTCGTGCCCTTGCCCACAACCAGTTGTTTGGGGGTGTGCTCTTGCCTTTCTAGGGTTCGGGGACCGTCTATACTGTAAGAAACGCAGCCAAGGATGCCTGTATGGCCATCCGCGTGCGCCGAACCCTGGGTATCCGAGCCTGATAGAAGTCGCGCAGCGGATTCAACCTCCAAATGATGTACTCATCTGGGGTGGCCGGTGCATGATGACTATCCTCCACCGCGGCAGGATCCGGTCTGTCGGCCGGCTTGCTCTGGGAGGGTGGGTACTGCTTGTGACGGCGGTGCGCTGCAGTGACATTTCTCTGAAGCCTCTTCCTCATCATGCTCGCTAGATCCATCGCGCTCTCGTTGCGACTCACATCTGCAGTGCCCTCATCGATTCCCAGACTGAGGCAGACATCGTCAGTGGTCATCGTGGTCGCAATGGCATCTTTGGGACTGAGCGCAGATTCCACAATTGTGAAGATCGCGTTGCGGAGGTTCTTCTCGGCCTGTGGCCAACGCAGCCAAAAAAACAGAACTCCCAGCTACTGATGAGATATGCGCATGGCGTCCAGAACACCCTGGCCCTAACCAAAACCCTAAACCCGAAACCACATGTAACCGCAAACTTGGGATGTTCCCCTTATACTGTCATTAATAGGGATTATAATTAAAAGACCCCTACTATAATCCCTATTGAGGACTGTTAGTACAAGGGGGAACATCCCAACCCTAAACCCTAAACCCTAAACCCAAACCTCAAACCGTTCCTTGCCCGGCCTGTCTCTCAGCCTCGTCTGCCTTCACGCTCATGTGCGTGAAGTCCGCGCCCGCGTAGGCGCCGACCCGGGTCCTGACAACAGGTGGGTTTAGGGTTCAGGGTTTAGGGTTTAGGGTTTAGGGTTTAGGTTTAGGGTTTAGGGTTTTGGGGTTTAGGGTTTAGGGTTTCGCCAACCCAGGTCCTGAACTTCCATATCTCAGCTTGCAGCCTTTGCGACCCGGTTCCTGGGCGAACGGCAAATTTCTGCATGCCATCGTGAGAGATCGGGCTTAGGTTGGGGATGTTCCCATTTTTGCTAGCAGTCCTTCATAGGGATTCTAGTACTCCCTATGGTAATCCCTATTAAGGACTGTAAGTATAAGGGGGAACATCTCCAAGGCTCGGATGAATTTGGGTGTCGTGCCAGGAACTTGGCTCAGGGAGTGACGCAGTCTTTTGCGAAGAGCTTTTTACGGGCTCTTGCCAACAAGGAGACCTACAGAGAGGGATCGGATAGACGATGACATAGACTCACAAGCAGACATAGAGAGAGAGAGAGAGACAGAGAGAGAGAGAAAGAGAAAGAAAAGATAAAGACAGAAATGTAGTCGTTTTAATTTAGAGAAGAGAAGCCGCTGCAGAAGCCGCTGCACCTAGACCCTAGTTAAACCCCAAGCCCTAAACTTCTTGACCCTGGGCTTCTGGCTGGTTCTTCCTATGAGGGAATGAGGCACCCCCACATCATCCCTTTAAAGGGTCTATATAGGGTTTAGGGCTTAGGGCTTAGGGTTTAGGGTTTAGGGTTTAGGGCTGATTCCCTTACTCAGAACCAGCAGGGCCCCTTTTGGCACTTCAAGGCTCGCAGCTTCATCCACTTCTTGGAGGGGTCCGCAAAGGTGGTCCAAGCTGCAAGCGAGCTCGATGCCAGGCTGAGGCCCAACACAGCGTACTTCTTCGTTTCCTTGGGCGTTTGGGTCTTGTGGGTCTAGGGTTTGGGGTTTAGGGTTTAAGGTTTAGGGTTTAGGGTTTAGGGTTTAGGGTTTAGGGTTCCTGACTTCTCCACGAGAAGGCAGAACGCAGCGAATTTTTTTTGATCTGGGCATTGCCCGGTGCAGTGCTGGCACCTGTTGGCCGCACGCGTGCCCATGAATCGGGCTAAGGTGGAATTCTCGGGCTCGTGCCTGGTATCTCCTAGTAGCACCTACAGCAACACAAGCACTATTGCTATGAAGACGATCCAAGAAGCCTGTGTAAAATGAGCTCTTGCCGTCAATCCGACCATCCAGAGAGCCTTAGATCTTTCAGCCGAACAACCTGCGACGCTTTGTGCTGGGGCCTTCCTCAGGCAGGACATGTTTGGCATTCAGCGCCAGAGCTGAGCGAAAGCCTGCATTTCTCAGATTGGAGTCGTTGGCAGCATAAGCTCGGAACAGCGCTGGGTCGACTGCGGACTGCTTCGAAACGTCGTAGTACTTTTTGGGCACAGCGTCGCCGTCCGCGGTCGCCAGAGCCACCAGCCGTGTCACGACTTTGCGATAGTCCCTGAGCTGTGACTCGCCACCAAGCTGCTCAGCCCAGAGCTTCAAATGCTGTTCCTGCAGCAGATGGGACCGCCTGCAGGCATGTACACACCATCGTCTGTCGCGGAGCGAAGAAGTGCGGCAGCTTTTGAAGCGTTGAACAGATTCTGGTCGCACAAGTGGCTGAAATCGCTTCCACATGTCAGTCCTAAATCGCCGAAAAGTCTGCCAATCGAAGGTGCAAGGACTGCAGTACGCAAGGCATTCGCCAGACTTCCATCAGGCTCTTTCTCGGCTCGAACGCAGATCATGAGGCTGTCAATGTATAGAGCCGTCATAAGGTGGTCAGCTTTCAATGCGTCTTCTGGCCGAGCAGTGGCTACTTCACCTCGTGCGAGCTTGACACCCAGAGCAGCTCGAATAGCTCCACGGCCTGGCAAGTAGCTGCCAGTTTCCTTGTCCGAGGCAACGCCAAGCATTCGAGACAGCTTGCTGACAAGCTGTGTGGTGGCGAACTCCTTTGCCTCCATGCCAAGCTCTGCAAACATGTATGCGGCTAAGCAACCTACCAAAAGCTTGTAGCGAGTTTCAGCTGTGTCGCCGTCCTTGACGATGATGTTTCCTGAGCTTCCCAGCTTTGCCAAAAGCTCGTCTGGGAGTGGAAGGCCGATCACTACCGTGGCGTCTACGGGTGGGTCAAGTCCAAATCTCTTGAAGTATGCCTTTGCCTTTCTGGCACCTTCAGCAGTGGAAGTGTCTACGATCTCTGTCCCAGGAAGTCCGATTTCTTCACGCTCGTAAACCATGGTATTCAGAGCAGCTAGGCAAATCTCCATAGCATCGTGGATGCTTTCGGAGAAATACTCCCGGATCAGTTTCAGCGAAGTTTGCCTGGAAATTGCTGCCTTGGCACTGTCAGACATACCACTGTGAAATCCAGAAAGCTGCGGCGATGTGAGTGAGCGGGTAGTGGTCCAGAGTTCTTGAGCCAAAATGGCTGGGTTTAGGGTTTAGGGTTTAGGGTTTAGGGTTTAGGGTTTAGGGTTTAGGGTTTAGGGTTTAGGGTTTAGGGTTTAGGGTTTAGGGTTTAGGGTTTAGTAAGGGTTTAGGGGGTCTGGGGTTTGCAAAGTTCAGGGTTTCGGATTGGGGTGTGTGCTTTTGCTGCTTCCTGTTTGAGCTCTTGGCCTGCAGCACAAAAGCCTCAAGGATGCGGGGGCTACTATTAGTTTCTATCGTATAGTTATATTAAAGGGACCATGAGTATAACCATATTTATATTTTAATCATTATAATACTGATAATAATAATGATGATGATGATGATGATGATGAAGGGACGATGAGGGAATACGACTAGCAAATATTCCGCCCCCTAGATTACCGAGGTGGCCTGCAGGGTTCAGGGCTTCAAAGGGTTTGGAGGCCTAAACCCTAAACCCTAAACCCTAAACCCTAAACCCTAAACCCTAAACGAGATGCGTCGGTGATGTCCTGGGGCGCGGCAGAGGTCGTCACGAAGGTGATGAGCACCCCGAGCAGCAGCATGAGGAAAAACGAGAGCTTGGCCATGCGCTTCAGAAAACGAGCCTTTGTTTGGGGTTTAGGGTTTAGGGTTTAGGGTTTAGGGTTTAGGGTTTAGGGTTTAGGGTTTAGGGTTTAGGGTTTAGGGTTTAGGGTTTAGGGCTTAGGGCTTAGGGCTTAGGGTTTAGGGTTTAGGGTTTAGGGTTTGCATCTCCAGGGTGCATCCAGCTGTTTTTGAGTCGCAAATACCGCTACCCGAATTCCTGGTCTTACCCCCGTCAAGCAGACCCTAATCCTAAACCCTAAGCCCTAAACACTAAACCCTAAACCCTAAACCCCAAGCCCCAAACCCTAAGTCTAAACCCTGCTAGTCGCATGTTGATTGCCTGAAGCTTTCAACCCCAAACCCTTAACACCAAACCCTAAACCCTAAAATCCTAAACATGGAACTCTAAAACCTGATAGCAGTCCTTAATAGAGATTATAATTGGGGGGGGGGGGGGGGGGGTATATATCCCTATTAGGGCTGTTAGTTTTTCAGGGGCAAGGAGGCCCCCAACCCCCCCCCCCCCCCCAAAAGCTACGCCGAGAGGCTCAAAACGCCCCACAAAAAAGTCTCCCGGAGGTGCCGCGTTTGGGGTTTAGGGTTAGGGTTTAGGGTTCAGGGTGTCATGTCCAATTTCATTCAGAAGTAAAGGAGAAAGACACACAAAAAAACAAAAACAAAACAACGACAAGACCTTCCAAAGCGAAGTTGGCAAGGATTCATTGCAACACAAAACCCGGCAAAAAAACACCCCTCAAAACTCCGGACACAAACCCTATACAATTTCTACAAACCCTAAATCCTAAACCCTAAACCCTAAACCCCAAACCCTAAACCCCTAAACCTCAGGGATGGCCTTCTCATCGAAGACATCCGCCAGCGTCCATGCGAAGCGGAGTAGCAGGAGGCCCTGCGGCGGAGAGGCGTTCGAATTAGGGCGCACGCTTGCGGTTTAGGGTTTAGGGTTTAGGGTTTAGGGTTTAGGGTTTAGGGTTTAGGGTTTAGGGTTTGGGGTTTGGGGTTTGGGGTTTGGGGTTTAGGGTTTTGGGTTTAGGATTAAGGTTTAAGTAGGGTTGACGGTTAAGGCACATATGTGTTGAATCTGGACTAGGAGCTTAAGACGGAACCTCAACCCTAAACCCTACACCCTACACCCTAAACCCTAAACTCTAAACCCTAAACCCTAAACCCTAACCCTAAACCCTAAACCCTGAACCCTAAAAGCCTTAAACCCTGAACCCGAAAAACCCTAAAGCCTAAACCCGAAAAACCCTAAACAACCCTAAATACCCGAAAGCCCCCAAAAACCTAAAAACCCTAAAACACTAAAAACCCTAGAAACCCTGAAAGCCCTAGAAACCCTAAATCCCTTCGAAGTCCTCCCAGGAGCCTAAACCCTAGCCCTACACCCCAAACCCTAAACCCTAAAATCCCTGAGCGGTCCTCCAAGGAGCTGGATTTCGGTAGCCGATCCGAGCGCGACAAGGCCTGGATTCGCTGTTTCAGGGCGCGGTGGTCCCCCAGGCGGATGCTGTAGACCTGGTTTAGGGCTTAGGGCTTAGGGCTTAGGGCTTAGGGTTTAGGGTTTAGGGCTAGGGTTTCGGGTTTGGGGTTTAGGGTTTCGGGCTAAGGGTTTAGGGTATACCTTTACAGCAAGAGTTGTTGGGCATGGCTTTGACACCTAAGACCGAAGTTCAGGCGATAAACCTTTTATCTAAGAAATATTCAACATACCCCTAGGTCATACGCCTTAAAAGAAATTAAGGGGTGTGGTAAAATACTCCCTTAGACTCCCTGTATATTACACTGTCATAGGTTAAGGGGTATGGGTTTGGGGTATGGTGAGTTATTCTTCGATTTAGCTACCTTCAACAGAAACGCAGTAAACACCCAAAAGACTACGGATCTAAGGCTACCTAGACCCAAGAGAATAAAAAGCGCACCCTTTCGGTTTAAAAGGGGCTGAAAAGGGCAACCAAAACCCCGAATCCTAGCAACCCTAAGCCCTAAGCCCTAAGCCCTAAGCCCTAAGCCCTAAGCCCTAAGCCCTAAGCCCTAAACCCTAAACCCTAAACCCTAAACCCTAAACCCTAAACCCTAAACCTAACCCCTAAACCCTAAGACTGCATACCTCCTGGGACTTCAGCATCTCGTAGGTGGCCAGCCAGAGCCTCTTGTCAGCCTTCACCACGGCTTTCGACTTCCTTGGTAGTATTGTAAGGGCACCCTCTGCTTTGGGTTTAGGGTTTAGGGTTTAGGGCTTAGGGCTTATGGTTTAGGGTTTAGGGTTTGAGGTTTAGGGTTTAGGGTTTAGGGTTAAGTTTAGGTTTAGGGTTTAGGGTTAAGGGCTTAGGGCTTGGGGCTTAGGGTTTGGGGTTTAGGGTTAGGGTTAGGGTTACTACCATGGCTTTTGACTTTCATGCTAGCCCGGAAACCCTATAACAAGGGCACCCTGTGTTTAGGGTTTAGGCTTTCGGGTTCTTTGAAAGGCAAAAAAACTGTGGAAAAAGGCACCGCTGGGCTGTCAAGCTTCCTCACCTGGTCATATCTCTGGGACTCTAACAGCCAGCGGTCGAGATGTTCAAGCAGAGCTCCATGTACCTGCTCAAACCTTGGCTCTCCTCAAACATGTGCAAAAGGCTAACACATCTAGGGTTTAGGGTTTAGGGCTTCGGGTTCCAATTCCCCTAAACCCTAAACCCTAAACCCAAAAACCTCCGTTGCACCTGGAGAAACCCTGAACCAACCTGCACAATCCGCGACTCAGCAGCCGCAACGCTGATGGCAGTCTCTCTTTGCTCAAGGTCACCTTGGGAAGGCCTGCGACAGTTTTAGGGTTTAGGGTTTAGGGTTTAGGGTTATTCCCCCTTTTGTCCTTAATGGGGATTCCAGTACCCCCCTATTCTAATCCCTACTAAGGACTTACGGTATAAGGGTTCTGGGGTTCAGGGCCGGGGGCGCAGAGACACGAAGTCATATCTAATGGGCCTGTGTGAGTGCAGTCAGAAGCCTTCGGTTGATGCAGCGCACGTCCCGAAGCTGAGAGGCAAACTGGAGCTCATGCTTTGCATGTTCTAGAGCCTAGGAACCCTTAGGGAAGCTTAGGGGGAGCCTTAGAGAGAAGTGCGGAGTACTAGGGAAGCTTGGGTTCCATGGCCCCGGAGCCTTGAAACTGCTGGGGAAAAACACAACAGATGGGGGCTTCCCACAATAGGGGTACCCCCTTAGGGTTGAGGGTTGAGGGTTGAGGGTTGAGGGTTGAGGGTTTAGGGTTTAGGGTTTAGGGTTTAGGGTTTAGGGTTTAGGGTTTAGGGTTTAGGGTTTAGGGTTTACCCAACAGATCCCACACACGCCTGCAGAATGAAATCCGGACTCTTCTGGGCCATTCAGTAGCTTCACTTCTTTCGTTCCAGCGCCATCCGCCACAGAAATGAGGATGCTGTCCCAGCCATTGAAGATGGCATAGAAGCACAGCTTAGCCCACTGTTCCGACCACTGCTGCTCAAGCTGTGGCCAATCCTGAAATCAAGAGGAACCTAGGTGAGGTGAGGTGAGGTGAGGATCGACCGAGGCACGAGCCTGGCCTAACAAAAGGGCGGCCCCTCCGGCACAAGGCTTAAGAGGCCAGCCCCAACAACACACGACACGACAACCACAAAACAAAAAGGAACAGCAACGCGAAACGAACGAGACAACGCAACGCTTTGCGGACCTCCATGGCGAGCTAATTTGCCCTCGCCCTGACCACCCAAAGGCTCACGTCCTTTACCGCTTCTACCTGCGCGAGCATCTCGATGAGGACCCTGTGAAGCTGCAGCAGAAAAACGAGGCGAAACCACGCGGGTAGAGGCCGGATGAACCAGGCGTCGACGGTGCTGGAGGGGGGCTTGATCCCGGCTCGCACTCAATAACCACTGATTCACTTCGCGACCTTACTTGGCTGACATTTCCTTCCCAATCCATGAGTCTTGAGTTGTACACCACGTGCTTCCCAATATCCAGCTTCTCTGCCTTGTGATGTTGTCCTCGAGTCTGCGCCCACGCAGCATACCAACGCGAGCACCGCTCGCACCGCTACCGCGTAGCGTACGCACTGCGAGCACCGCCCGCACTTCTACCACGCCGCCCACGGTCGTCACGTAAACACGGCTCCGGCACCGCCGGTGTCTGCGGCCAGAGCGAAAGCGTCGGCGCCCGGGGTAGACCCTACCCCCGCCTTGCTCACGTCTCCCATCCCACCCCAAACTGCCACCATCCGTCTGTGCAACTGCCGGGTCCGCATCGCCCTGCTGCCAAAAAGTAGGCTCCGAGCTCCGAAACATAGTTGAATTCGAAAAGGGGCCCCACGGCCTGTTATTTCCAAGTATCGCAGAAAAAGTGAATCCTCTCCAGAAATAGACCTCCAGATGCTCAAAGACTGCAACGACCCCCAACCCACGATTGAGTTGCACCCAAAGTCCAAGGAATGCACACATAACATCATACACCGAGGCACTGTCGCACTAGCGCCACAGAGGGGGGAAGAAGAGGGTGCTCATCGAACCCTCAACCTGAGGATCTTAGTGCCGCCCCGGAGGTCCACCCAACTTCCAACTCCAGCCCCTCCGCAAGCCAGCGCTAGTCTCCGGGGCAAGAGGAACCTAGGAATCAAAAAAGGGGTACCATGTCTTTTGCTTCAAAGGGGGCTTATAGGGGAACCTGAACCTAAAAAGAAAGGAAAGAAGGGTCGGTACCCCGGGTCCTAGCCCTAAACCCTAAACCCTAAACCCTACACCCTAAAAAAAAGGGGGAATAGGGGCTTCCTCTCGGCCCTAGAATCTTTGCAGGTTCGAATGGCTTCGACGGCATCTCTCAACCTCTGGGTGGTCATGCTGGACTCCTGGCAGCCAGCCATGTAGGGTTTTCGGGTTTAGGGTTTAGGGTTTAGGGTTTTAGGGTTTTAGGGTTTTAGGGTTTAGGGTTTAGGGTTTAGGGCTTAGGGTTTAGGGTTTAGGGTTTCGGGTTTCGGGTTTAGGGCCAAGGCATAGGGTTTAGGGTTTAGAAAACCATGGACACTCAGATCACCCGTTCTTGGCGTGAGGATGTGGGCCTGGGTCAGGTTGCCCTGTAACCTAGGCTTTAGAAAGGGTGCCCTTTTTTCTGCTTAGAGGGGTTTGTAAGGGAACCTATGAAAACCCTCCCTGAAATGGGAATGACTGTTGGTTCTTGGCTTGTCGGGCCCTCCACGCGACTGTGGCCGGGGTGTTGGATCAAGCGCAAGCCTTATCTCACCGACTTATTTATCGACTGAGAAGTCCTTGAACACTTGATCTGCCACGTAGTCCGTGAAGATTGCGGTGGCTGTGCTGACATCCTCGTCTTCATGGGCGTGATCTTCCGGATTTGCATCGCCCCGTTCATGGTGTGACTGGACTGTTGCTTTTATCACCGCGTCGTAAAGCCACAGGTGCTTGTCAACCCGCTGCTCCTTCACCTTGTTTTTCAAGGCCGCCCGAATGCCGGCCAGTGCAGAGCCGACATGCGTGTCAAAGAGGTTCAGACTGTTAAGGGCTTCGGCGTGTAATCGCAGTCGCTCGGAAGCCTTCTCCACGTCAAGCCTGGTTGCAGAGTTGGCAGCCGCACCCGGATTTTCCTCGACCAACACCAGTGGGGTGTCATCGGGTCCTCCATCCTCGCTCTTTCGAGCTGGCAGGTGATCCGGCCTGCCATCAAGCAAAACCAGGGGGATGCCATTCGTCACGCAGTTCAAAGCCTCATACTTCAGGACATTCATGTCACCGCCGGTCCATAAGCCCAGCACCGGAAGCGTACTGCGCAGGGAGGACACAAAGATGTTCTCGAACTGCACCGCAGCCCTTGGATCAAGGAACCCCTTCTCGTCCAAGCACTCAAAGACAACATAGGCAGCAGCCCCTTCCACCAGTCGATGTCGTGGCCATAGCACGGGGTCAGCGCCATACATCCTCGGTGCCCATCTTCTCCGAAGAGCCCTTCTTTGTCTAATCCCTCAATCCTAAACGTTGTACCTAAACCCTCTAATGGGTTTCAAAAAGTACCCGAAGCCCTTCCCGCCCCCCCCCCCCCCCCCCCCCCCCCCCCACAACAAAAAGAACAAACAAAGATATCCCGGGGCAATATTGGGGGGATCCAAAGCCCTAAACCCTAAACCCTAAACCCTAAGGTTCTGTGTCAGCGCAGGGATGAAGTCGGCCTTCTTCCAGCTGTCGTTACTCTGCAGCAGCTTGTGCTCCAAGCTGCCAGGGTTCAACTTGCTCCTGGGTTTAGGGTTTAGGGTTTAGGGTTTAGGGTTTAGGGTTTAGGGTTTAGGGTTGAGGGTTTAGGGTTTAGGGTTTAGGCGCCTCCCCCCTACAGTGGAGGTTGCTCGCCAGCTAGCCCGGTGCCGGAGCCGGACGAGGCGTACCCCAAGGGCCCCAGGCCAGAAAATCCCGAACCTCTCGCCGCAGCTCCCCGCGTCCAGGACCCCCGTCGGACCTTTCTGGGACCGTCAGGGGCCCCCTTAACCTTGTGGCCTGACACTTGTCCGCCCCCTCAACACCCCCTACCCGCGCCCCGGTCAGGAAAAGCGACAATGGTGTTGTGAGTTTAAATCCAGGCTTTGCCGCCTTAGACGGTGTGGGGTGGGAGAAAGGTGTGAGAGGGGCCCTCCCAGATCGGGCCATGGCTGCCATTCGCATTGGGCGATGCCTTCAAGGCCCTGCTGAGGACCGTCTCATTTACAGCATTTGCGCCATATTACAGCAAACCCTAAACCCTAAACCCCTATATGTAAAAAAGGGGGAAGACAGCGTGCTCCGGTACAGCGATGGCTCGGTATGTAGAGACTCCGGGCGTTCTCGACAATAAGCAGCTGGAAAGGGCACGAAGCTCCAAGACTGTTCTGAATGGGCTCGCTGACTTCTGCAAAGGCCTGGGTTTAGGGTTTAGGGTTTAGGGGTTCAGGGTTCAGGGTTCAGGGTTCAGGGTTCAGGGTTCAGGGTTTGGGGTTTGGGGTTTGGGGTTTGGGGTTTGGACTTTGGGTATACAAGGTTGCAGGATCTGCGATCGTTCCACACCGCTATACAAAGGGTGCCCTTTTTTCGGCCTATACTCTGGGTCCGAGCCCTAAACCCTAAACCCTAAACCCGAACAAAAAAATGGAAAGAAGGGCAAAGCCGAGGCACAGTTGTCAGGCTACAGGAGCTTCTTCCGACCAGCAGTGCGTTCGTCTGCATGGCCACAGGGAGGAGCACATCGCGAGCGATGATGTTCCTAAGTTCAAAGGCTTGAGGGTTTAGGGTTTAAGGTTTAGGATTATATAGGGTTTAGGGTTTAGGGTTTAGGGTTTAGGGTTTAGGGGTTTAGGGTTTAGGGTTTAGGGTTTAGGGTTCAGGGCATGTCTTGGGCCTACCAAGCGGAAAACTCAGGGCTGAACCCCAGAGTTCCCCCCACGCAGCCTTGCCATTGTGATGACAACCATGCATGCCGAGATTTGCTTTCTGGCGGAGCCCAACAGCGAGATTTAGGGTTTAGGGTTTAGGGTTGAGGGTTTAGGGCTTAGGGGTTTAACGAAACCTGATCCAGTGATCAATGGTGCCTTTCCAAGACTTGAGCCACTAAGTGTACCGAAGTGGTTTCAGAAAGGGCAAGAACGACTTAGGACAGGACTGAACCTTAACTCCTAAACCCTGAAACCTAAACCCTAAACCCTAAACCCTAAACCCCTGAACCCTAGACCCTAAACCCATAGACCCTAGACCCTAAACCCTAAACCGGTGGCGGGCCACAGTTGCCTCTCAACCTTTTCCTCATTGCCAGGCAGTTCAGGAACCGTCTTCGTAGGCAAGAACCTTGGTATGCCAGTACCCATATTACAATAAGGGGTTTAGGGTTCAGGGTTGAGGGTTTAAGGTTTAGGGTTTAGGGTTTAGGGTATCGGGTTTACTTTAGAAGGGAACCTTGAACCAAAAAATGGGAAAAGGGTACCAGTGGGCGACCGAGGAACTCTTTGAGCCGCGATCGTCCTTTCCAGTAGCTCCGGCCGAGCAGGGATGGGACAAGCCAGATCACTAGCCTCAGTTGGGCTTTGGGTTTAGGGTTTAGGGTTTAGGGTTTAGGGTTTAGGGTTTAGGGAGCTCAGGAAAGATGACTTACAGAGCACGTTGGCCTTACGATTACGTAAGGCCACGCCCATCACCCGAGAAATGATTTGCCGCCCTCCACTCTTTCTGCTGGGCCGATGCTCTCAAAGCCATGAACCAGAACAGTGTGGCTTCTACTGTTGCGAACCCTTTGGATTAAGCTCTCAGCCCTGAACCCTAATTCTCCCCACTGTTCTGACTGAACCCAGCATCCTTTCTCTTGACCCTTCGGAATCAGACAAAAAAAAGCGACAAGCTAAACCCTAGAGAGCCTCAACCCCAAACCCCAAACCCTAAACCCCAAACCCCAAACCCTAAACCCCAAACCCTAAACCCTACCCCCCCCCCCCCCACTAAACGCTTCATTCGCGAAGCTTTGGCTCCTGAATGCCCAGCGCTTCCCGCACCTTCGGCATGCGCTCGGCCGTGAAGTGCAGAGCTTGCCTTAGCCGGTCTTCACATTTAGGGGGTTTAGTTAGGGTTTAGGGTTTAGGGTTTAGGGTTTAGGGTTTCGGGTTTCGGGTTTCGGGTTTCGGGTTTCGGGTTTCGGTTTACGGTTTAGGGTTTAGGGTTTAGGGTTTAGGGTTTAGGGTTTAGGGTTTAGGGTTTAGGGTTTAGGGTTTAGGGTTTAGGGTTTAGGGTTTAGGGTTTAGGGTTTAGGTCTAGCTTTCGGAGGCAGGAAACGTGAAGGCTGTTTGTGGCTTAGATGCCCAAACCAGCCCTAGGTTCATGTATAGCTGTGAGTAGGGTTATAGAGCACATCCCAATTCTTGTTAGTTATGACTATAGGATTCATAACGTATTGCCCTCCCTGTAACGACCCATGCACCATCAGGTGCACTCTCTGCCCCAACAATGGGGAGTCGAAGCAAACCTCGCAACCCTTGCGGTGGACAAGCAAAGCCACTTGTTGGTGAAGTAGATCACCTGCTAAGGTTCGGTTGCGGCTTTCGCCAATTTGTGCTTTAGGGGTACCTGCAACAAACAGGCTTGCAACTTCACAAACCCCCATGTTTGCAGTGGCCCTAGCTATCACCCAACTGATATCGTGGCCGGACTTCAGAACCACCCAAATAACATTCTCCCTGTAAGGGCAGTATAGGGATTGCTGTTCCTTTATTTATTTTTTTTTTTTTTTGGGGGGGGGGGTTCTTCAGCAAATAGTAGATGACTACCCACATACCCTGTACTCAGGGGGTCTGATCCCAGGGACCTCTCCTGAAGCCTCGACACCCTGAACGCCCAAACCCGAAAACCACTAAACCTGACAACCCCGAACATCCTTGAATTTTCAGGCCAGGGCCCGGGGGGGCGGGGGGGCCGGGGGGGGGGGGAGTTAACTCCAACACGTTTCGGGCACAGGGATTGGGTGAAGGTGTTTCTGGGAAGCACGGGGGTTCAGGTGCATGGGCTTGGGATGTTCCCCTTATACTAACAGTCCTTAGAAGGGGTTAAAATAGGGAGGGGGTACTAAAATGTGTATTACGGACTGTTATTAAGGGGGAACTTCCTAGATTTAGGGTTTGGGGTTCAGGGCTTGGGGTTTAAGGGTTCTGGGGGGCTCCAGGGGCATGGCCTTGGTCTTATGCAGGAACTCCCCAACATTGTATGTCACCGTCGAGACCATGTGCTGGAGGCCTGTTGAGGGTTCCGGGCTTTGAGGCTATTGGGGCTTCGGAAGTCACCCAAACTCAAACCCCGCACCACGCTACGAGACCCATAACCTAGGACCCAGGAACAAAAAGGTGCCCTTTTTTGGTTTAAAAGTGCTGAGAGGGAACCTAAACCCTAAAAAAGGGAATAAGGGCCTACTCTGAGGAGGCTTTGGCTTTTCCGCAGCGGGAGCAGAACAAGATAGGCGGACCGGGAATCCACCGCTTGGGAGAACATGCAAGCTGCGCGTGAGGAGTGGGAGAAAGAGGTGGAGAGAGACCTGCAGGCGAGGGAGGCTGCAGAAGCCGCGATTCCTTGCAAGTGCTCGCGTCTGCCACGCGGAAGGGCGGTAGAAGCGCTTCGCACAGGGATCTGCTCGAGGAGACTAAAGTCGGGGTTTCTGAGGCAACGCTTTTGGAACCCTATCTGGTTTCCTGCACTGTTCGCACTCCTCGAGCAGCTCCTGCGGAAAATGGACGCGCGCTGCCTTTTGCTTTGCATAAGTTAGGCTAGCGACTTGCTGTTGAAGGAAGCTGAGGTGTAGAGCCGTCTGGATGATCCTGTCGACGTGCGACGCTTTCTTGCAAGCTCGGGCTCCTCATGCTGCCTGCGCAGCGCTGACATCTGCCTTGACTCTTCATCCTCCCAGAGCATTCTAGCTCTTTCAGAATCCTCAAACTCTTCCGGAAGAGCGTCATCAAATTGCGTCGCACGCATGTCCTCGTCCTCGCATTCCTCCACAAAACGCAGCGCTCGTCTCGTTGCCCTGGAACCTAAGTCCGGGCCAACCGATTGCAGCGCCTGACGCCCCGGCGGTACCTCGTCATGCGACCTCCGACAGCTCTAGCCCCAATCCATGCACAGGGAAGGATTCCATCGCGCACGGGACAAAAGTTTTGTCGACTAAAGTAAAGGAGCCAGAGGACCTGCAGTCACAAGCAGCTTAAGACGCACGCAAAACAGTAGGGAGCCATGTGCAAGGAATGCATCCTTATTACTGCCAAAATTTGAGCACCGATGCGGCCGGCAGCAATTTCTGTTGCGTTCTTGTGAGGCTGCAAGCTGGTATAAGACATTGTGCTGTTGCACTTGTGGAAGACAGTGCTGCGACGATGCCGAACACGTTGCTGCTTTGTCGGTTAGTAGTAGTCGCCCCTGTCGCGGCGCTCAAAGGTGATGCGTCAGTGGGGCAGAAAGTTTTGTGGAGGCCCAAGCCTCTCATTCGATCCGCGCGCCAAGATCCTAGCTGCATTCTGCGACGATGTTAGGACTGGCTAGTGCGCAAGGCAGGTTCGTTCCACTCAGACCCATCTTCGTGATGCGTGCGCCCGTCATTGTCAACGCACGCGCTGGCGTCCGCGCCCGCGGTGACCTTCATCTTCTTCCCGCACGGTGGCCTGCCGCTGCTACAGTACGACGCAGCGCACGTCACGGCACATGCGATGTCACCCTTGTTGTTCTTGATCCTCGGGCGCCGGTCACACAGTGCACTGCGAAGGTACCTAATCTCGCTCTTGACCTGGTTGTTGGGGCACCATGGGCACCAATCCCCTGGCGGAGACCTACGGTCTTTTCAACGAAGCGCGAAATCGCAATCGTCCTCTTGCGAACTTGTTGCTGCCGCTGCTGTTCTTCTCCTTTCCTTGCGCGTGGCTGCCGCATGGCAGGATTTTCGGAAGGATGTTTTATCTTGACCAAGGCTTTCTCTGCGTTTGTCAGCGATGATATCTTGTGCCAAAATGGCGACTAAAAGAGCTAGGAAATATGGGGTTTAGGGTTCAAGGTGTGCTGCCACCTGTTTAGATCTTGGGGTTCTTAGGGTTCTTAGGGTTAGGGGTCATGTGCGGTGAGGGTCTGCAGGATGCCCTAGTGCCGGGAAAGGTTGGGGGTTTCGGTTTTACAGCCTTGGCTCACCAGACCCTGGGGGCCTGGAAACCGTACCCCAGACCCTTTTGAAACTGGACTTGATGACTGCGCCCAAATCCTGAAGCCTAGACCCTAGACCCTAAACACTAAAACCTAAACCCTAAACCCTACACCCTAAACCCTAAACCCTAAACCCTAAACCCTAAACAATTCTGCTGGGCCGCTTTCCACCTGAAGTCTGGCCACCTGCTCCTTGAGCTCCTTCCCGAGAGACCAGGCTTCGGCTGCTTTAAGTAGGGATACACATCAATACATATAGCTATATATATATATATAGATATGTGTATACATATATATATATATATATATGTATATGTATATAGAGAAAGAGAGAGAGAGAGAGAGAGAGAGAGAGCGAGAGAGATAGAGAGAGAGAGAGATATATATATATATATATATGTGTGTATCTATATTGTGGCTTAGGGTTTCGGGCTTTTAAGGTTTCGGGGTCAGGATTATTCAGCCTCCCAACGGCTCTTGAATGTGGGCCCCTTGTTAAGCGGCCAGAAAAGGCTGCCCTCCTGCAACCCTAAACCCTAAACCCTAACCCTAAACTCCAAAACCCTAAACCCTAAACCCTGCCTGCTTCGCATCCTCGCCAGCGCTCGTGGACCCCGCAGGCTTTGAGGTCACCGACGCCTGCTGGCGAGTCTCGAGCTCCTGGAGCGACTTTTCCAGGCGCTCATGCACCTGACTCAGGGGCACTTCTGTCGCGCTGGCTCCCGAAGTTTCGGATTGCGGGAAGCGTTTTAGGGGCCCGGCGATGCAAGCTTGCGTCATGAAACCTTCAGCCACTTGACCACAGAGATGGTGGGGTCTAGGCCGAGGCACCTCCGGCCGAAAGCGCGACGCGGTTCGCAGCTGATTTCCCTGGAAGTCTTCCTCGTCCACACCCGGGCCGGTGTCAAGATTCTCCTTGCTCGCCCAGCAACCCACTTGCAAAAAGGTTGCCGTGATGGGGTTGGCTATGCTTCGTAATACATAAGGGTTGCCCATTTGTTCTGGCGTTCGATATGTCTCAAAAGTAAGCGTCCCCCTTGATTTCGGGGTTGGGTACTTGTTGCAGCAAGGACCCCTTTTTGGGTGTTGGCAATTATTCATGAAGGATCCCTAACCTGGAGCCCCAAAAGGGCAAAAAGGGTACCACTGGGCTGCTAAGTTGCACCCACATTCAGGTCCTAAACCCTAAACCCTAAACCCTAAACCCTAAACCCTAAACCCTAAACCCTAAACCCTAAACCCTAAACCCTACCAAGTCGCACCCATATCCAGGTCCCACGGGCTTTGGCTACTCGCAGCCTCCACAATTTGAGCCTTGGTAGCCCAGTAACCATATTATGATAAGGGCACCCTTTTTTGGGTTTAGGGTTTAGGGTTTAGGGTTTAGGGTTCAGGGTTTAGGGTTTAGGGTTTAGGGTTTAGGGTTTAGGGTTTACGGAACCCATAACCAAAACAAAAAGGTAAAGGGCACCACTGGGCTACCAAGAAGCCGAGGCTTTTAAGATGCTCTTCTTCTCGGCTTTGAGGCTTTCAAAGACCTCCAAAGCCACACGAGCTTAGGGTTTAGGGTTTAGGGTTTAGGGTTTAGGGTTTAGGGTCTAGGGTTTAGGGTTTAGGGTTTCGGGTTTCGGGTTTAGGGTTTAGGATATAGGGTTTAGGGTTTAGCCACCTGAGATTCGGCAGCGGCTTCTCTCCGAATAGGTACGGCGATTCTGCACTGCGATATTCACATTCTTCTTCAACGAAAACATGAAGGAAGAAACCCGAAACCCCTTATCCTTTGTGCTGAGTTCATAAGCCACAAAAAAGCAGACTCTTTCAGTTCTACAGGGGATTC